GCTTAGACTTACATATTTCCAAGTCTTGCTTTTTCATCATAAAATAGGGGCAGAGCTGTTCATCTGAGTACTTGCCAGGACACAGGGGCCTGTGGCTTGCAGGGAGCAGACAGTGAGAGGAGGAGCGGAAGCACCTTGGGGCCTTGAAGGGAGTGCTACAGGAGCTGTTCTTTTTAATAACTCAGCATTAAAAGTGAATGACTCCCATTTGTGTCACTCAAAACCAAATTTCATTCTTCTTCTAGCCTGTTTTTTTTTTTCCACTCCATTTTCCTGTACTTAAATCAATGACTGAGGGGCACTCTCTATGAGGACAGATGGGTTTATCTCAATATGGTTTAGCTGTTCAGACCTGACCAGGCCTTCTCCATCTATACCCTTGCGTCTAACTGGGGGCTCTTCACAGTTTCCCAGAGACAGTGAATTTTGACTTGGTATTAGATAATTCTTTATAGTATGTTCCTAAACACAAAATCACATTCCTCTTCAGAGTTACTCCTTCTCGGGGTAGTGGTAGTGTTCTGTGACTAAGGAATGTCACTCTCCAGAAAGGCGCATCACTTGTTGGTAGTGTGTCAACGTGACTTTAACTCTATTCCCTGTTGGACAGACAAACTTATTGGCGTCCACTCTGCCCATGGTGTAAACAGGACTGGCTACCTCATCTGCAGGTGAGTTGCCAACGTCGAGAGGCAGACCCTGTTCCAGTTGTTTGGTTTACAATAGTCGTGTAAGCTGGTTGCAGAAAATCAGTGTAGAAACTTATGAAGGAGAAAGGAGTCTTACCCCCATCCAGAGATACCACCGGCAATGGTTGAACTTGTTTTTTCAGACTTTAAAAATGCAGGCAGAAGAATATACATGTACTTTAATGGTATGATATTTATTTACTTATTTATTCTGAGAAGGGATTTTATTTTTTATTTTTATTTAAAAATTTTTCATTGACCACAGGGCATAGATCTCCAAAGAAGTAAAAAGCTAACCTTTTCAAACAATATGGCTTCTCTCTCACTTACCAACTTTACATCTCCCTGTATGGCCCCAGAAGATGACTGGTTAGGCAGAGACGGGTAAGATTCCTCAAGGGAGGAACAACCTAAGACAGGCACAGTTGCAGGGGGGCCATCAGGTGAGAAATTGGGGATCAATAGTGGTGAAGCTTAGAACCTCACCCCCCCTGCTTTGAGAGAAATCTTCTGCATCTGTGGATGTTTTAATGCCCTTGTCTAGCTTGGATTAACACATAGTCTACAGGCACACACCTGATCATCTACAATTGCTCTCTTACTACACTAAACTATGTTTTCTACCTTTATCTTGCATCTACCTTCCATTTCAGCATT